GAGCGGAAAGTGAGCCGGGTCCTGTGGGGTGCTGGCAGCTGGTGCTGCCGGCGAGCCCTTTCTCCACGGATTTCTTTTCCTAGTGGATTCCTGTCACCAAGCTGGGTCGCCTGGTTAAGGATATGAAGATCAAGTCTCTTGAGGAGATCTATCTCTTCTCGCTTCCAATCAAGGTAAGCTTCTGTGAATGTTTAAGCAACACATAGCAGAATCTGAAATGCAGAGTTAGCAGTAGGTGCTACATCTGCTGTTAGGGATGCTCAGGCTTAAGTGTGTTTAAGTTAAAGACATAAATCAGAACCTGAGGACTGATGCAGTCAGGTGGAAGTGTGGTGGGGTTTGTGTGTTGTGCGTTCTGCCTTGGGTGGAGACGGCAGTGCGTTGCTCAAGTGTTTCTGTAATAATAGTTCTCAGTGATGGAAAAAATGAAATTTCAACTTGCTGTCTTGGACTGCCTGGCAAGCTAGAATAAGTTTATGCTGGCAAATTTTAATGTGTTCAAGTGCCTATTACTTAAAATGCTCCTGCATAGGCTTGTTGAACTTGAATTGTAGGAGCCTTACTCACCGTGTTTGGTTGTTTAAAAAGCGTGGCCTCGTGTGATTAAATGACTGACTCTTGCAGGAGTCGGAGATCATTGACTTCTTCCTGGGGTCTTCTCTGAAAGATGAGGTTTTGAAGATCATGCCTGTCCAGAAGCAGACTCGTGCTGGTCAGCGTACCAGGTTTAAGGTAGCCTTTTTCTTCTGTTTTCTCACCTTGAAAACTTTGTGTGTGTTCTTTGCTGCTTTTTTGGTGTGATACTAATAAATTAGTTCAAATACCTTTATTTTCTTCTGTAGTAGCTAGTAAATATTTTGGTATGGGGATCAGCTTCTGTAGCTTACAAAGTGTTTGAATTTTAAAATCCTAGTAATACGTTCAAATGCTATTTGAAACGGCCCTAGCACAAAATTAAGTCACGCTTGTGCAGTGATGCCGGCTGTTCAGGGGCTGTGGCGGAGAGAGAAGTCTTAGGTGTGAAGAGGGAATGCTGCTTGGAAATTATGGGGGCCTTTGACCAGTATGAGGCTGCAGCAGGGATTTAAATCCCAGTTCTTCAGGTGTAGCTGGTTTTGACTTGAAGGATGAGCTCTAAGGGGACAAATGGGCTTTTTGAGCTGTGACTGTTCGCGGCTGAGCGCACACCTCGGGTTTTCCTTGGTGAAAGACCCTGATGGACTGCGTTCCGCTCGGGGAGTGTTCCTGTGCAGTGCAGCCGCCGCTGAAAACTTTTCTTTCAATCCTAGGCTTTTGTTGCTATCGGGGACTACAATGGCCATGTCGGTCTTGGTGTTAAATGCTCTAAAGAAGTTGCCACCGCTATTCGTGGGGCAATCATTTTGGCCAAATTATCCATCGTACCTGTACGACGAGGCTACTGGGGGAACAAGATCGGCAAGCCCCACACCGTGCCTTGCAAGGTGAGAAGGGCTTGCTGGGCCTGGCCTCGGTGATCGTGCTGCAGCGCCTGTGTTTTGGGAGCTGTAACCATTTGTCTTCGCGTAGGTGACGGGCCGGTGTGGATCTGTCCTGGTGCGTCTGATCCCGGCTCCCCGTGGTACGGGGATTGTCTCTGCCCCTGTCCCCAAGAAGCTGCTGATGATGGCGGGTATCGATGACTGCTACACCTCAGCCAGGGGCTGCACCGCCACCCTCGGCAACTTTGGTAAGCTTTAGCTTTTCATGTTGTAGCTTTGCTGTACGTATTGCCATTTTTGACATCAACGGGGATGCGATGTACCCATTTCTGTAGTATTTTTTAATCTGTGTTGAATCAAAAGCTTTGAGCAGAAGCGAAGACACCAATGCCTTTTAGGGTGTGGGTTAGTCCTGCTGTAGATGATCCTGAAGTTCTGTACAAGTTAATTACCAGAAAATGTCTCTTTATATGTGCATTGATACTAAAAAAAGCAATCTCCCAATCTGCGCGATTGCACTTGTTTGAAGTAGTGTAATTGTCGTAAATGGAGAGAGAAAGAAACGTGAGTTTTGTGTGCATATCAGAGAGAGCCTGCTGTGGTCTCCCTGTTCCTGCCTAAATTCTACATTTTTGGAGCTGGGTGGGTGGTAGCGAGCGGGTTTCTGCAGCCGTGCTGTGCAACGTTTGACTTCTGTCCCTAGCTAAAGCCACCTTCGATGCCATCTCCAAGACCTACAGCTACCTGACCCCCGACCTCTGGAAAGAGACTGTGTTCACCAAGTCTCCTTACCAGGTAAGTGTTCCTGCAATTTGTAGCTCAAATCTTGCCCTTTGTGGGTAAAGAAATGTACAGAGGAAAAATTTTGAAATACTAAGTAAAAATAAGTTGCAGAGGAAAATTTTGAAATACTAAGTAAAAATAAGTTGTATTGGAACTACTCCAGCCCCCATGTATACACCTTGTCAGAAAGGGATGCAGTGCTGAGAAAGCCGTGATAGTGGCTTAAGAAAATAAAAGTTTTTCTTTTCTTTTTTTTTGCAGGAGTTCACTGATCATCTGGCAAAGACCCACACCAGAGTCTCGGTGCAGAGAACCCAGGCAGCTGCTGTGGCAACAACTTAAGCGGGTTTTTGTACAAGCCAATAAAGCGATCAGTGAACAAGAAATTGTGATGGGATGGTTAATGCGTTGGGCAGGTTGGATTAAATCTCTGCTGGGGATTTGTGTAGGTTCAGGTCTGTGGGCCAGAGCCTGAATGTCTGTTGAATGAAATGGTATGTTAGGTTGTGCTAATCCTTGTTAATCACGTATTCATCCTAAATGGGGTCTAGAACCAGCTCTGAAGATCATGTGCTGTCCTGCAGCAGGTAATCTTTACCCTAACTGGGGGAATTCTCTGCCCGGGCTGGGCAGAGCAGTACAGTGTGTTCCTGCTGGTTCCTGGAAGGGTCCTGAGGGGAAATCCTGGCTCATGCAGCTGGGGTGCCTGGGGCGAGGGGCTGATGATGGTAATGATCAGCTGGAAGAGCTGAAAAAGGAAGAATTCTGCAAGTGTTTGCAGATCTCCTTAAAGAATGAGTCGAGATGCTAGTTGTACGGCAGATACCCAGGCTGCGCGTTTATTGTAGAGGTCAACAGCGGCCAAGTTCAAAGATGCAGCATGCAGGACGGGATACCAGCACCGCGGCGGGAGGTGCTAACCATTTAGGTCTCCTGAGATGCGTTTGCTTGTGCCTTCCTCTCCTCCATCATCCTGTGCTTCTGCTTCATCAGGCATGTCCTCGCGTTTCCGTGGACACCAAGATCACCGTCTGTTAAAAAGAAAGTCAGTGTCTGAAGAGTGCCACTTGGCAGCTAAAAGGAAATCGGCCTCTGTTCCATGGGAAGTTCAGGAGGGGTGGCTCAGCTCCCCTTTCCCGCCCGCTGTTGCAGCTGCAGTGGCGTGCAGGCTGCTGCCATACTCACATCTGTCCTGGTAGGCCTTGGTGACCTGTGCCAGCTGCTCCATCTCCTTGGCGCAGTTCTGGAACTGGTTGGGTCCTTCCCTCTGCTTGCATGCGCCTAACCTCTCCCGGACTATCTCCACGATTTCCTGATCAACCATCCTGCGGGAAAGATGATGATGATGATGAAGAATGCAACCACAGCCAAGAGATGATAGAAAAGCTGACCAAAGGGGCGATGATACCCTGTGGAAGATCAGCTCTGGGTTTTTACAGGATCCTGGTCTGTCCCACAGGAACTAGGCAGTGCAAGAGGACGTGTCCCAGCGCGACCCTGCTCAGGTGTGCTGCAGGGGACAGCAGCACTGTGAAGTGGGCATTCTGTCATGGTGTGGGCAGGGGGTGCTGCCTCAAAGCCCCAAACTCAGCTGAAATGCTGCGAGTTCAAGCCAAGGGCTGCAGTCCCCAGGGCAGGTGAACCAGAGCAGCACGCTCCGCTGCGGCCTCGTCGGCGGGCAGCCCAGTGACAGCCGTACCTGTCCCTCCGCCACTGTGCTTCAGCCTCGAAGTAGCAGAGGTAGTCGCCCTCCAGACACTCACTCAGGTCGGGCACGCGGCGAAACTTCTGGTGGTAATAGTAGAACTTGTTCTTGGCTTGCTGGCGCTCGATCCACTCTGCGGAAGAGCCCTGCGGTCAGGCACCCCCGGCCCACGACTAGCCAGCAGCCCCGTGTCTGTGTGTCCAGCTCAGTGTTCCCTGCCCCTGTGTGCCCAGCTGCGCGTCTGTCCGTGCTGTGCCCTGTGTCCCTGTGTTTGTCTGTGCCCCATGTCCATGTGTCTGTCCCAGTGTCTGTGCTGTGTTCGTATGTGCCCTGTGTCTGTCCCAGCATCTGCGCTGTGTTTGTGCCCCATGTCCCTGTGTCCATGTCTCTGTCCCAGTGCCTGTGCTGTGTTCATCTGTGCCCCGTGTCCTTGTGTCTGTCCCAGCGTCTGTGCTGTGTTCTTGTCGGTGGCCCATGTCCCTCTGTCTGTGCCCCATGTCCCTGTGTCTGTCCCAGCATCCATGCTGTGTTCATCTGTGCCCCATGTCTGTGTCTGTCCCAGTGCCTGTGCTGTTTTTGTCTGTGCCTCATTAACACCCATGTCCCTCTATCTGTGCCCTGTCTGTCCCAGCATCCGTGCTGTGTTCTTGCCTGTGCCCCACGTCCCTGTGTCTGTCCCAGCATCCGTGCTGTGTTCATCTG